TGGGGAGGGAAGTGCACGGGATTATGGTGATGGCAAAAGGGTGACTTGGTGACGGGAAACCTGCGGGGATTACAATTGAGATGGAAAAAAAAATGTACAACATGATGTAAAAATAAACTGTTATAAAATCAAATTTTAAAAAAATCTGTCTCTCAAGTATGAATGAAATTCTAAAATAACATCCAGTAGTAGATTTGTAATAAAATGAGAGCAATGTTTCTGCCAAATAATTTAAACTATTGGATACAAATCTAAATATGTTGTGATCATACCTACATAAAAACACACACAGAGAAAAATCCAGACAGGAACGTAACAGTTCCTGGGTGGTGAGATTAAAGCTGACATTTCTCTTCTTTCTATTTTTTAATTTATTCAATACTCTAAATTACGATATTGTTTCAATTTGGTTTAATATTCCATGTCAGAGAAAGGTAGGCTGAAGGAATTTGATACATGCGTTAATTCAGATAACCCTAACTAGTACAGACAGACTTTAGAATTCAAGTGACCCCCTAGAGGTTTGTTGTCTTGCTCCCACATGGTGCAAAATGAGTATTTGTGGTGACCAGGACTTCCTCGGTGTCCTAGTTTGGACAGTAATGACATGGTCAGCCATGACCTCAGGCGCAGTCCACAAAAGACAGCCGTGTTCATCTGTGTCCACCCATATGAGCAGAAAAGCCTGGCTGGCCACTGAGCACAGGGTATGTCACAGCTACCGCTGGAATGCCCCGTCTCACCTCCACTCACCCCACTGCCACCCGTGACCACAGTGAGGCTGGGCCATGAGTCCACCAATGTTCTGGAAAAAACTAATCTGCTAACTCATCTGCTCGACCACAGCGCTTAACAGTGTTGGCTATGCACAAGGATCATGAGTCCTAATGTTTTCCTACCTACCACCCATTTCTATTTTTTAAAAAGTTGGATAATATAAAGATGAAAATGAGTCCCATAAAATAGTGACTCTGGCAGTTGCCTATTTTTAATAGAAATAGTATCAAACTATATATATGCATTTTACATTCTACTTTTTCTACTCGCTATTGGAAGGTACAGATGTTCCACGCCACTAAGGAATCGTGCAAACACGATGCCTTTTAGTAACATCACGACCGTACGATAATACACATTCCCATTCTCCGATTGCTCTTCCATTGGGCTTGTCTGGGCATTTTTAGAAGAGTATCGGGGAAGATGTGCACCTCCCCTTTCTTCCCACACTTACCCACCCACAAAGCGAAGCACCCAGTCCCAGAAATCAGCTTTTCCACCAGGAAACTGGGAGCCTTGAACTTTTTCCAAACCATTCTCTGTCCTTTTCTGTCCTATCCAGGGCTCTTTCACCCTCTCTATTCTGACGGGAAGGTTTTGTGCAGATCCCATAGGACATGCTCGCACAAATCATGTACCTCCCGGAAGTCCGGTCTCGCTTTGCCACGCACTCTTCCCTTCCAGATGGCAGCAAGGCCAGCTTTGGACAAGAAGAGTGCCTCGCTCCCAGCAGACACCCACGCTGGGAAGACAGTAGCTCTGCACAGCCTCTCCCAGGTCTGCTGCTCATAAAGTGACCATAACTTCCCAAAGAGCTTCCAAAACGTCCTTCTCAGAGGCAGCGAAGGCAGCCCTGAGGCGCCCGCTTCGCCTCAGAAGCCCACTGGTCTCCCGCAAAGGCAGAGCAACTATCCATAGGTTGTTTCTGTCTAGAGCAGAATCAACAGGAAGGAGAAGGAAGAGCCCCAACCACATCTGGGAACCACCTGCCCAAAAAATTGTGTGGGCCCCGGGGAGGCTGTGGGAAATATCCTATTTTAATGTCCCAACATCCCGGGGGAGACGAAAAAGGCAACTGGCAACTGACGGAAATGTAACAAAACAGTCAAAAGCAGAAGTAACCAGCTATGGAGATTGGGAAACAGACATGCTTTTATTTATTCAGCTATCACAATGTTTTTGTTAATTATAATAGAAAATTTAAAGATACAGGCCATGTGTTCTCATATATCCCCTCTCCACCCAAAAGGGATTTCTAATCCCTACCCTCTGACAAGCAGCTATAAAAATTACTGCAAAAATCTACATATGAAAAGGGCACAAAGCATTAAACAACAGTTGAAGGAATAGGGCAAGCACTACAATTATGTCAAGCAATAAAGCGCTGTGTCAACATCCAGCCACCCCACAAGCCTCTCCTGGTCCTCACGCCCTCTCCAGCCTCCAGCCCAGAGCCAAGTCCTGCTAAGTACTTACGTGATTCCCATGCCTTCGCTTTTCCTCACTTTAACCACCTACATTTGCGTTTCTATCCAATACAGTTTCACTTTTCCTAGTTTTAAACTTAATATAAGAGAATCCTGCAAGATGTAATCTTCTTGGGTTCTTCCTTTCAACTTTATGGTGCTCAGATTCAGTCATGTCACATGGCACTAACTCACACATTTTTTTTCCATTATTCTATGGAGTCGATTATCTTTTTTCTGGTTTTTTTTTTTTAATCAGAATTGTTTAATTGTTTTTACAGGATTGGGGGTGGTATTTTTTTTTTTTTTACCGAAGTTTTTTGGATAACTTGTGTCTAAGTCCTTTGTTTTATGTGTTACAAGCGTGTTGGCCTCCTCTACAAATTATTATTTGTTTGATTTCTGTGTGAGTGTGTAGAACTGGGTGTAGTCCATAGGTACAGAAGATGAGAGGATTCACCAGAGACAAACTGGGGAGCTGAATAGGTAGAGTGACTGAAAAACACTGCTGAGGGGAGCAGTGGGTGCTGTGCCACGTGGGTCACCCCCCTGGCTGGGGATCCAGCTCAGGCCATAGCAGTAATAGCGCTGACACTTCACCCCTGGACCACCGGGGAGGCCCACATTTGTTCGATTTTAACTTAACAAATCATCAGTCCTTTTCTTTGTGATCAGTGCTTTTGTGTATGGCAATGAAAATGTTCATCGTGAATGGATGTTGCATCACATATTCAAAAACAGAGAGACTTTCTGCTCATATTCGTTGAACTCCCAGCTTAAAATCATTATAGCCTACAACAAGTGGTATATGATTTTAATCCTTGGAACATTTTTTGAGATCTAACTTAGGGAACTTAAGTCCTACTCTATGGTCAATTTTTGATAAATAGCCTAAAAGGTGTAACTTGCATTCCTTGGGCAAGGTGTTCAATATACATTCGCTTCTTGCATCAGCTATTTATAACTGCTATATCATTTTTATGATAACCAACACTTATGAAGTGTTTTTAAATCCACCCAAATGACCATGTGATTGTTTCTTCCCACATGGCATTCGCTCATCACTGCACTGGAAACTCTGTTTTTTAATCTGCCATTCATTGGAGAGTAATCTTTCTCTACTTGCCCTTAAGATTCTCTCTTTTCCTTACAGCATTAATTTCTAGGTACGAATATCTTTTGATTATTCTGTTTGAAACTTATTTATCTTTTTTCAGCTTTCCTTTGGGTATTTTTCCTTCATTTTGAGCAAAATCTAAGTCTGTTTCATCACCATGTTTTCCTATTTGCTTTCTCTCTTCCAGATCTCCAGTTAAATATATATTCAACCTTCTAAGTCCACTGTCACTTTAATTTCAGTTATGTCATGTTTTGCTCTCAAAACTGTATCAGGTCTTTTTCAAATAGCACATTGCTTTTTAAGTACCATATTCCCTGCACCTCTTTAAAGCTCTCATCCCAGAGAAGAAAATGGAAGAAAGAGGTGTTACCAGACTTCATGCGTGTCAGACACTATTGACTTTGGTGGGTTTCGGTCCTGGACACAGTGCCCAAAGCCCCCCGCCCCCACTGCCTTGGGTCCCGTTTCTGCTGCCAGCCCTGACCCAGCAGCTCTGCTGTGCGAGACAGCAGTGTGGCTTAGGTGACTCTTCTTACCACTGGCAGTTGTTGGGCAAGCCTCCTGGGCATCCTTGAGTGATGAAATCCATCACACCAGTAGGAAAATCGAACCCTGAATTCCAGCTCCCACCCCCACCCTTCCTTCCTCTCTGTGGGGGCGATAAAAGTCCCACAGGAAGAAGAAGCGGGGACAACGGACTTGCTCACAGTCCTGGGAAGATGCACATACTCCTGCCCCTGGTGGTCCTTCTCCTACCCCCCAAGACTGAAGCAGGTGAGTAACCAGCCCCTCCCCAGAGGCCGACCCGACCCCACAGACTCCGGAGCCAGACTGTTCAGGCACCTCCTAACTGGACCGCTCAGCAGGTGGTTTGAACCACAACTCCTGTGGTGCATTGCCTGCAACATTGGAGTTATAGTGAGGCCAGAGTTATAGAGTCGCTAAGAGAGTCGAACTACCAGTGTACATAAAACTGTAGGCATTGCCACCGGCACGTAGCAGATACTATATAAATGTGTCTCTGAATGCATCTGCAGCCCGCATCAGAGCCCAGGGGATAGGGATACAGCACTAACTGTACTGTCAGTTCCTGTGCAGATTCCTAACAATCAGGCTCATGCTGGCCATGAACTGGCCATGAGCTGCCCTCAGAGGGATCTGGGAATCTCCCTGAAGAAGAAAATAACAAGGAAGTCAGGGAGAGGGCACTCCGGAGGGTGCGGCTTGCCCTCCCCAGAGCAGAGCCCCTCTCAGTACTGGAGGCTGGGCGGGCCTTGCCTAGAGCAAGGGGTGTGTGCTCCCTTGGGGGAGACAGGAGGCGCTGAGGCCTGGGAGAGGGGATGGGTCTCCTCGGGACCCAGCGGTGCTCCCTGTGAAATCCTGGCTCCCGCTTCCAATGTGTGCGTATCCTGCACACCCCAGTTCTCCCCACCAACTCCTTGCGCTGCCTCCACGCACCTGCCTTCCCATCTTCTCGCCTTTCTGGCCACCAGGGTGTCCACACCTTAGTTCAGGGAACACTGACATGCTTCCTTCCAGGGGACATCATCGGAGGCAAAGAAGCCAGACCCCACTCCCACCCCTACATGGCATTTCTTCAGATCAAGACTCCTGAGGGCTGGAGCAGTTGTGGGGGGTTCCTGGTGCGTGAGGACTTCGTGCTGACAGCAGCTCACTGTGAGGGAAGGTGAGCCTAAGGGAGTTCCCAGGTGGCTGGACACGGGCCCAGAGAGCAAGGAGAGGTGCCATCGGAAAGTGGGGGTCTAGCAATGACAGGGTGAACGGAGACCGAGCAGGTCTTGAGGAGGCAGGAACAGACCAGTGTAAGGAAGAGAAAGGAGAACATGTTCTACAAGAGACCAAGAGGAGATGGGAGGCAGGGCCTGGGGCTCCGGCTATGGGTTCAAGTAACTCAGGTTCTTCTCGCCGAGACACAACTACGCGTTTTATTGTAGATCTCTGGAATCACATAGTGTGTGTTCTGTTCTGATTTTTCGCACCGTGTATTTTGAGAGTCGTCCATACTGTTGTGCCTATCAATAGTGCCTTTCTCTCTATCCCATTGTGCCACCATGGCTGGGTGTGGGCCTCCTTTTCTGGGCACAGTATCCCCTTCAAGCCCCAGCTCAGGGCCCTAGGGAGGCGGCAGGCAGAGAGCTCAGCCCTGGAGCCCTCCTGGCTCTCCAGTTCTCTCAGCATCAGCCTCGCCCTGCTGGGGGCCTGTAGCTCCTGCAGCTGCCAGCTCCTCTCAGGCGCTCCCCTTGCAGCTCTATAATCGTGAAACTGGGGGCCCACAACATCGGCAGGCAGGAGAGGACCCAGCAGAGCATAGGTGTGCGCAGAGCGATCCGCCACCCTCGCTATAATCCTCAGAACATCCAGAACGACATCATGTTACTGCAGGTACCACCTGCCTGGCCCTCTGTTTCTGCAGCTAGGCTGGCTCCCTCCCTGCATGGGGTTTCCTGGAGAGGAGACGGGGCTGGGGGTGGGCCGGGTGGGAGAGTTCCATGGTCCCTGAGTGCCCACACTCTTCCTGCCAGCTGGAGAGGAGTGCCAGGAGGAACCAAGCTGTGCAGACGCTGAGCCTGCCACAGTCCCAGCACAGGCTGCCTCCACAGACCCTGTGCATGGCGGCCGGCTGGGGCCTGGTCGGCCTGAACAGGGCAACCCAGAAGCTCCAGGAGGTGCAGTTAAGAGTGCAGCAGGACCAGGAGTGCAGAAGGCGCTTTAGCACCTACGACAGCCGAACGCAGATTTGTGTGGGGAGCTCCAGGGAGAGGAAGAGCGTCTTCAACGTAAGACCACGGGCAACGATGACTGCCCGAGACATAGGGCCCTGGGCGGATGGACACGAGACACACCACAGCCCCGGGGCCTCCGGCTGGGGGCGTCCCGTCTCTTGGAGAGTGGGAGAAGCTGGGGGTGCTCATTTCCCACCTCTGCAAGGATGGCTGGAGAAGGGGAGGTGCTGTCCCTTGGGTCATGCTGGAGACAGGAACCGAGGCAGGACTGCATTCCAGCGATGGAAGCTTGCTCTGCGGCGCACCACCCTCCCGCCTCACAGACTCCCAGCAGTGGAAGGAGCCCACCGCCAACCTCCACTTCCGGCCTTGGGGCAGCAGCGGGAGACTTGACCTAGTGACCCTTTCTCTCTTCTCCACAGGGGGACTCCGGGGGCCCGCTGGTGTGCAACGGTGTGGGCCAAGGCATCGTCTCCTATGGAAGCCATATGGGCAACCCTCCAGCCGTCTTCACCAGGGTCTCGAGCTTCATACCCTGGATAAAGAGAACAATGAGGCGGTTCAAACAGTGAGAATGAGACACACACACTCACCCCCTCCGCTTCCACCCCTGCTGATGGATTCTTCTTCTCTGGGGCAGAGGCCAGCCCCAGGGGGGTTACCAGAGCTTTAATAAGTGTCCGTGTCTGAGTGAAATAACCAGTTTTTCAATTGTCCTCTCAACGTCATTCAGTTCACAACAGATGTTTTCCAGCACTGAGTCTGAGCGCCTCCAGAAAAAGGGGCTTCTTCCCCAAACAAATGATGACCCTGTATGATGCGCAGGATGAACTTCTTACTCCCTCCTCCAAGCCATCTGTGCCCTGGTCTCCTCTATACCTGCTCCCCACCCCCAAACCTGGTGAATGATGGAAAGACTTCTGTCTCCCGGGGGACACTAGACAGTAAAGAATTTTCCAGAACCCTGACCACTGTCACCACACGTAGGACAGGCTGACCAGAGGACAGAACAGAAGCATCACACAAGGCCCCATTTAATACATGATGAAAGCGGCCCCTTAATTTCTGCGGGGAAATGAACTTTTCTTAGACTGTGCTACTACCACATAGTTATTTGGAGGGGAAAAGTAAAATTGGATCAACCCTTCATAGCATAAACCAAAATTACCTCAAATATATCAGAGATCAGAATATGGAAAAGTAAACCATAAATATACTAGAAAAAAAGAAAAGTTCTTGCTTAAAATATAGCTAATTGGGTGCCCCCCCTGGTGGCGCAGCAGGTTAAAGCACAGCACTAAGAAGCTAAAGCCACTTCAGTACGAGTTTGATCCCCACCCCGGAGGTGACCACATGGCGCGGCAGACCTCTCCTGACCGGCCCACTGCTCCCTTTAGCAGTGAGCTTCATCAGTCGGCCTGTTCTGCTCCCCACTCTGTCTCTGGTGAATCCTCTCACCGCCCCTGCACCTCTGGCCTCTACCCCAGTTCTGTATGCATAAATAAATCTTTTTAAAAGATAGCTAATGGACACCCAAGTTCATAACCAGGGCACTACTCACCATGACAAAGAGTTGGGAGACACTGGGGCTGTCACGAGGCAGCGCCTCTCCTCGCCCCTCACGCCACCCCACGCCAAGACGAGGAACAGGAGACACGTCTTCTCATTTTCAGTGTGATGCTTCTTGTTTTGATATTCTGAAGTTACATAAAACTCCACACAAAATTTGACTAAAATTATATGACTTTTTACCCTAAAAATTAGCCCACGGCTATGTACATCGCTAGTATATTGAAATATTTTACCAAAGTCACGGAATTCAGAACAATACTTCCAATACAGAGTCAGCCAGCAAGTTTTTCTCTATCAGAATGTTAATTATTCCTTGCACTGTGACACTTAGCATCTGAAAATTTTCAGTTTCCATAATCTTAAGTGGAATGGTCATTGAACACATATTTTATCAAATTAAACTGTTTATACACAGAGATGCCTTGGTATATCTGACCATTTCTTTCATAGGTTTGTCATCTGAAGATCATTTGCCTAATATTCAGGGTAAGCCATTTATCAACAATGTTTTTTTTTTAAGATTTATTTATGTATTCATACAGAGCTGGGGACAGGCCAAAGGTGCAGGGGCGGTGAGAGGATTCACCAGACAGAGTGGGGGGCAAAACAGGCAGACTGGTGAACGACACTGCTGAGGGGAGCACCAGGCCTGTCAGGAAAAGTCTGCCACACCATGTGGGTCACCTCCAGGGCCGGGAATCGAACTCACACTGCAGCAGCTGCAGAGAGCTTGCAGTGCTGCGTCCTAACCCGTTGAACAACCAGGGAGGGCCTATCAACAAAGTCTTAATCAACAATACAGCTCTGTCAGAATTGTCATTCTCTCGATACTTGCTGCCAACTAGCACAGCAATTACCTACCACTT